CCTCTAAATCAGCCCCCAAATATACCCTCTTCAATTAGAAAATAAATTAATCCCCTCTAGATCAGCCTCCAAATATGTTCTCTTCAATTAGAAAACATCTCCTAATTAATCCCTTTTGATTAAGAACATTCCTAAATATCTCCCTCTTGATTAGGAAACTTCCTAATTCCCTCTCAATCAAATCAACTGGTCCATCATCTTTCTTATTCAGCCATTGACTATTACTCTGCATGTTGCATGTGCTCTATCTTGATCACCTCTAAGCTTCCTTACAATTGTCATTTGTCCTGACTGCCTCTGGCTTTTCTTATATGATGTCTCCAATAAAAAGGATCTCATTCATTGCAACCATGACATCTATTTGATGAATAAAAACTAGTATAATTGAGACCATTTTTTAACCGTGAAGTATATTTTCTGAATCAAAACTAGTAATTTTGGACAGATCTTGGAGGATTATCCTGCCTAATTAAAGGATGACTTACCAGGAAAATAATAATTTAGATTCTCCTCACTTACACTTTCCCACGCCTCTATATACAGTTGCAACTGTCAGACAAAGGCCAACAATTGATACCAAGCAAGCTCAAACCAATTGCTTAAGTATTAGTTGAAATCCATAAAATTTTTTCTTCCATGATCATAAAATTTCAGCTGAAATTATAGGCAAAATTGTGAGAACATATGCTTAATTGATATCAGAATTTAATCAACAGCAATAATATAAAATGAAACATTAAAACTAAGAAAACCATTAAGCCCACTCAAACTAAAGTTTCTAGGATTTAAATGAATCCTTGAAAGATGAATCGAGTAGTAAAATTGAAATATAGTTTAATTAGAATGATATATAGGCAGTTCAACTTAAGAACAAAATGTTCTTGTACAAAAAAAAAAAATAGTGTCAGGTGAGTGCCTAAAATCTAAATAAGTGTCCAAAAAGTCCGCAAGTGTCCAGGAAGTTTCAGTTTTGAAGTATAATATTAGAATATGTCAAATAGCTTGCCCAATTGCCCCAAAACTGTCCAGGCATTCGCAAGGTGCCCAGCACTGATATTGTGAGTTTGTGCTTTTTAGATCAAATTCAAACTCAACCTTAATAAGTAGCAAAAAAACTTAGTTAACTGCATAACCTAATAGTACACAACCATGGATTAAAAAGACGTTCGAGACGGATGACTCCAGGCGCGCCTCGAATCGAGGCGGAGGTCAGGCGAACTGAGGCTTAAGTCTCGAACGTTCGGGCGAGGCTTACGCCATTTTCCACAGAGGCGTATGCCTCAAGGCATGAGGCGTCGAGGCGCATCGAGGCAGCTCCTCAAAAGGGAGAAAGTCAACTTCACAGCCAGCGAGCTCCCGTTGTTTCTTCCGATCAAAATGTCGTAACTTACGATCTGATAGGAAGGGAAAGTCGTTGAAGGAGCAAAGTCGAACAACCATGAAGGAGCCAAATAAGCGACGCGTGCAATCTCTACGCCTTCTGTGAAGCAACGAAGCCGAACAGCAAGGACGATAAGAGAAGATGAAAGGCAAAACCTAAACGCGGCTAAGTTATTATTCATTAACTTAATTAATATAATTTAAAATATTAATAATTAAGCAAATTAATTAAATAATTAATAGTATAATTAGTGCATAAATTAATTATCTAATTTAATTTAATTGACTAATTAGTAATATAATTATTAATTAAATATTAATATAACTAGCCTAATTAATATAAATTAAAATCCGGATTTTAGGATTTAACCCTTACAGGATATATCAAATTTGGATTTACAAGATTTACTAAATCCAAGTAATGTTTATCAAATCATACTCTATGTTATTCATGGGAATTTATTCCAGTAAATTACATATTATGAAAAAAAAAATCTTTTCAGATATAAACATCAACGATATTCTTTCAATCAAACAAATATTCAATATAATTTTATACATAAACCCTCATACTCCTCAAGCTTTTTTTATGAGGCTTGCGCCTCAATTTGGTTGAGGCCCGCCTTAAGGCGCGCCTCGCCTCACTGGCGTGAGGCATACGCTTCACCCGATATATATTAAAACTTACATAAATCCTGAAGTAAAGCCGCAAACAAATCACACTTCGTGTACCCCCTAGTCGCAGCAACTTCCTCTCAACTTTCTTAACCTCTAACCCGTCGCCATTTTTTAACATATTATTTGAGTATTATATAAAAATTTACTTTTAACATTTATTTACACTTAACACAATTTTTTATTATAAGGCTCACGCGCACAAGAAAATCTTAGAAAGAACTAGCTAACCTTAGCACAAAGAACCATCCATTGTTGTTACATGATAGACCTTCTTCTTCCAAAGACACATGAAAGCAGATGCTCGCGAACCGTTCATGAATCTGTTTAAAGAGAATTCATTAAAAAGTTTGGCTTGTGTCATTTATAAATGAAAGCAATTGAAAATCAAACTCACCCAGGCGACAAAGTCCAATCCACAGGGTACAACCTGCACCATCTCTCTGCATTAAGAGGCATAGTCTATCACAGCACTCATTCTGCAAATGTATAAGGGCGGCTAATAGAACAATAAAATAAGCAATGAATATTAAAATATCTCATTAAATTATTAAGAGACAAAAGAACCTCTTCAACCATTCATGGAGCCGATTGAATAGACTATATCCATCCAGATTTTGAGTTGCATCAACTAAAGTCAATTGCCGCCAAAATCACGTTGCTGTTAAAGATTCAAAACAAAATCAACAATATTCAGACCGAACACAGGAAGCCAAAACAAACAACATACAAGGAATTTACATCAGCATTCAGGACTGGAGTATTATATAGCAAATAATAATGGGTGAATGTTTGTAAGTCTTAAAAATAGATTGCTCTGCAGAACTCTAAGTTAGTTTGAGCTGTAGACGCTTTCAGTCAAGAGCAACAGTGTGATAGGAAATACATGGAATATTTCAAGTAAACACCTAACAAGAATAGGAAAAAACAGCAATAGAATCACACGAAAATCTGGTGAATAAACCTACAAATTGTAATTGGATTTGCAAAAGAGAGAACTAACAGCAAACAACTAAAAACAAAAGATACAATTGATCCTCAATTCCAGAGGAGAGGTTTCTTCCCAATCTCTAGATGAGTCAAAGCCCAAAAATACAAAGAAGAACCCTACACAAGAACCCAATAATTAAAAACATAACCCTACCCTAATCATCCCTTCCAACTCTTAAAGGCCATATAATTAAAACAATAGACAAAAGACCCTAAAAGCCCGTGCCGCCCCCCCTCCTTTGGCTCCAATTTGACAATTTGAAATCAGTGGACCCCATCTCTCTCCCCTCTTGCCGCGCCCCTCCTAGGGTGTAAGTCGAGCCGGTAGGACGGGCGGCTCGAACTCGACTCGCTTAACGAGCTCGGCGACCGAGCTTATCGAGCT